CGTCAACATACCCATGTCAAATGCCAAGGTTTGGTAATTCTAAGGGCATCTCCAACCTAGCGCTATTTTGGTGTAAAAACACCAAAATGGCATGAAAAAGGCTCTAACCAAACGCCAAATATTACACCAATTTGGTGTCAATGTACAGTGCCATGCCAAATTTAGTGTGGCACTGTTCAAATAGAATAAAAAATATTTTTTTATTTGTATTTAAGTTAATTTGATTATTATTTATATTAATATTTATAATAATAAATGCATAATAATTATATAATTCAAAAAATAATGAAAAATTAAAAACAAAACTTTATTCAATGCAAATATTAAATTACAATAACTAAAAATAAAAATTAACAATAATTTTAAAACACTAAAATTAAAAGAAAATACAACATAAACTAAAATAACAATTTAGTATTCTGGTAGATTAGTTCCGGATCCTCTATGATAATCAAAATATTGGAAAACTTGTCCAATAGCTTGGGCAGGACAATATGCTGGTTGTAGTGGATCTCCAACTATTATTCTCGAGGCTGTAGTTGATTATGATCTTTGGATATGGCATGCATTTTTTGGTTTTCCGGGTTCCAACAATGACATTAATGTGTAAGAGGCATCTCATTTGTTTGCCAACCTAACTCAAGGTATTGCTCCTCCCGCTCATTATATCATTCAAGGAAAAGAGTGTAATATGGGTTATTATTTAGCTGATGGTATATACCCAAAGTGGTCTACTCTCCTACAAACTATTCGCGATCCATGTGGTCTCAAAAAAAAAATTATTTGCAATGAAACAAGAAGGATGTAGAAAAGATGTGGAACCTGTGTTTGGAGTTCTCCAATCACGGTTTGCAATTATGGCAGGACCAACACGTTTTTGGGAAAAAAATGTATTACATGATATAATGATTGCATGTATTATTATGCACAACATGATAATCGAGGATGATCGTAATGTTGATGGATCGATTAAGAATCAAATGAAGCACCAACTCTCGAAGTTGAAATTGTCGCAGATGAAAATGTCCGATTTCAAAATTTTCTTGCTCAACATAGACAAATCAAGGATACAGAGGCTCACTAAGCTCTTCGAAATGCATTAATTGATCATTTGTAGGAAGAATATACTAATTCAGAAAATTAAATTACTATCAATATGAAATTTTACTTTTGTGTTGTTGTTGTTGTGTATTATTTTTTGGGTATCATTTGATATTAGATGTAATGTTTTTCTATATTAAATGTAATATTTATTTGATTAAATAAATGCTTACTTTTATTAAATTAGTATAATTTTCAAAGTAATTATTATTTAATAAAACTATTACTCCCAATATTTAATTAATATATACAAAAATAATGAGTGAAATAGATTAATTATTGATTATTACAATAAAAGAAAAAGAAATAGAACGTTCTTTTTGATGTAATATTTGGTGCAATAGGTTGGAGATGCAATAGTGTTTTACACAGAAAAATCACACCAATTTGGTGCAAAACTTGCACCAATTTGGTGTAATAGGTTGAAGATGGTCTAACGAATGAGCAAACAAATAGTAGACGATTCGAAGTTATTTCCAAAATGAGAGGGGGTTTATGGATTATGGTATACCTTGAGGGGTTTAAATTGATTTTCTCATTTTATAAATAAGTATTTTATCAGCTTTTAAAAACAAGCTCTCAAGCATGAACCCAATGATTCCTTTCAAGTTTACAATTCTAGAATGACATCCCGTTAAAGTATGATTAAATAACAAACATCTCCGTGAGGTTTCAAAAATAACAAAAAATGTCTAGCCGTTAGTAAACTATTAGTGAACCCATAGAACTAAACTACTAAGAGCTAATGAATATATAGCAAATTAACAGCAGTTGGATTTTTGTTACTTCATAAACCTCAGGGAGATTTTTTGTTATTCAAACATACCTCAAGTGCTAATATCTTCTTAACTCTAATTTTAATTCAATTTAATTTTTTTCATTTATTGAATATGTATCACAACTTGCAAATGCAAATCCAGTTATTCAAATTGGATTTTGAATCTATCCACAAAATGGTCCAATTTCCCATATAAAAATCAAATTGTTTTTTTATTTTTTAAAAAACAAATAAATAATTTTTGTGTAATGGGTTGTGCGAGGTCAAGCAAAACAAGTGGTGTGTCGGTATTTGCTAGATCTGGCCACTTTAGTCTTTGTATTTAAAGTGTGTTTATTTTGTACGCGTGTCATATCTTATTAAGTTACATATCATTTATCACTTTAATTCTTTATTTACACATCAAAATTAGGTGAGATGACACTTTAGTTTGGATGAAAAATTCAGGATATCAGTTGCGAAGTGTAGTCTAATTCAATATTTAAATATTATTTATTTTTTTATATGTTAAATATTGAAGTTACAAAAACCACATTAAATCCATTTAAGTTTAACGAAATTAGGCTAGTAGTGGTAATTACTATTTTTATTATGTTTCGAAACTTCTGACCTTTTTTTCTTATTAATAAAATTGATAATCTCCGTTTAAACTATTATTTGTTGAGTTTCATCCCCATTCCCCTCTATTGAATTCCTAGCTCCACGACTAAAGATAATAAAAAGAACGTAATTAATTAGAGAAATTAGTGGAGTGCCATACCAACATCTGGGGAATATTTTGTTATTAATAATAACTTTGGATGTTTTAATATTACAAATCATTAAGGGCAAAGCCATGAAGGGCGTAGCCAAAGAAGTTTCTTAGACTGGGCTAGATTTTTTTTTTTTTTAGAATAAGTTAAATATAAGAAGAAAAACATGATTGCTAAAATTCAATGATATAAGATAATTATTAATGAAAAAAAAAAATTAGAGCTATGCACTAAATGTGAATGATCAAATGAATGTTACCTAGATCAATTTATAATTTAATATAAAATTAAATTAAGACAATTATATATAATTAACTAGAAAATTTTAAAAAATCAGCATAATTCAAATCATTTTTTAACACACATTAATAATTACTAAACAAATATATCAATGTAAAATGAGAATTGTGTAAATAAAATGAATTGACATAATATTATACATGATTTTAGCTCTTTTTTTTTTAACTCATATCTTTGTCTTTTTATTTAATTGTTTTCCATCCTCTTCTTAATAATGGATTGCATATCTATTGAAATTGAATCATTTGATTGCATATTTATCAAAATTTTAATTATTCCAAAAAAATGGACAAAAATTAAATTATAATTTATTTCTTGTCTTCAATCCTTCTCATTCTATAATATTTTTTTTTATTTAATTCAAATATTGTACACATCCATTAAAAAAATCAAATTTATTTCAAGACAAGTATTAATATAGATTTGATTTGTAAAACAGAAATTAGGGTTTATAGTAGTATGAAGTATTTTTTAAGAAATTAATAAGTCTTCCTACGTAATTTTATTTAAGAAAAAGTTTACTTAGCTAACTCCTTTTTAATTGAGAATAATCAATAAACATTCAAGTAATGCAACAATTTAACTACGTACCTCAAGTGGGGCGTTTACAATTCTCCCCCCCCCCCCCCCCCCCCCCCCCACCCCCAAGTCAAATTAAAAAATAATCATTTTTAGATGACTTTGTAGCAAGACCTCTCATAAGATTTTTGGACACTTCTACTTTCATCTTCCACACTAATCACATTTATACAATTGTTTCCATAGAAATGAGAAAAGTTTTAATTTATATTGAAATGTAGAATATATTAGTTTTTTATGAAATTTTTGAAAGAAATGTGTTAAGATATATAAAATGTCGAATATATATTTAGTGTAACAAAATACAAACTAGTATAGATATTTTGTGTTAACTAAAATTAGGTTGACAAATGGCTTCTAGAAAACTGATGAACAAATTCGTGCAACCAGAAGCTTGCAATGCACTAGTAGGGCATAATGATATTAGTCTCACTCGAGTGGACTTTTTTGATACTTAAGATGGGTCAAATGGGTAGTTTACATATAATCTATTTGTAAAATATCATTATAACCCCTATAAAATATCGAGCAAGGTTAATATCGTTACACCTTACTCATGCAAGGCGGGACTCATGCGATATGGGACCCTTACAAGACTAGACTCTTACGACTCGAGTTTTTACAATCTTTTAGAAAATTTCTTTCAACTCAAAGTGCCTTTTTTCTTTCCTAAATATTTTTTGAAAACGCCGGATACGGTAGGTCGTGCGTCATTCCAATGATTGTCGGTGACAGTTGACGTGGTGGCTAGCAGTCCTCCTAGGTGGCTTGGGTAATTTTGTTGAAGTACAAGAGTAATTTATTTTTAAAAATCTTGAGTATATGATTAAAATTGTCTATAAATTTATTGTAAAGTAGATAATCATATTACCTCTTATGTATAATCAACAATAATTACTATTAGTTTTAAAAAATTATTAAAATTTTAATGTGATAATCAAATAATATAATATTATATTATCTCAATAATTGAGAATTATCCCCCAACCAAACATACCCTAAAAGGAATTCAAAGCTATGGTTATTGAATTGGTTGCTAAGATTATTTTCCCATAGTTTAAGAGAAACCATAAAAATAAAAATAATGTCCAACTAAGCCAGCGATTTAGTTGACTTTGTCGTGAGCCTTTTATTTGACAGCACAACCATCTCCCATTTCAATATTAACATATCGGTGCGACTGAAACTGAGACCGAGGCTGACATCTATTCTAATCTTTGAAAACTCTGGATCTGCGTTCATACGTACATGATCACAAATTCCATTGGATTCACCCCTGAAAATTATCCTTACATTTCGTGCCAGAGTTTATCATTAATCTTATTCGATTTGACCTCTAATTCTATGCCACCAATTGGGCAGCCTTTTGACACATGATTCCGCGGTAAAATTTGCTTCTATGGAGATATTAGCGGTTACACTTAAAAAATCGCCGCGACATATATATAAGAAATAATTTGTACCAAGAAGATTCTTTGCAAAAACAATGTTTCTTGCCTTGGACTAATAAAACTGTCTATAAATATCTGTAAGTTTCAAACTCATCGTATTCCACCGAGATTTTTTTTGATACTCTTGCCTTGTTTTGCTCCATCATTTCTCTGTCTTCGCTATTATTAAACCCAATTACTTTCCTTTTCATTTAAACTACTCCAGTTTTGCTCCATTCTCTGCAGTTCACACTCCAAACCCCTTCATTGAAGAAACAAAAGTAAGTTCATCCTTCTCCTCTATAATGTTAATAATGACTTTTAGCTTTTTCTCATTTCCAGTCTATATAATTCATGTTACCATGTTTGATTTTTCCTTCATTATTTCTGGTGTTCTCTAATACATAAACTTAGATCTTCACTTTTCATATTTCCTGAAGATTTTCTTTCATTGGATAGAGTTTTGATACATTTCAGGAGTCAAAACTCTTGTAGACTAAATATTGAAGTACTAACTTTTGATTAACAAATATTGAAGGGAGGAGCCATGACTATTGACATTGGAAGTAATACTCCAGAAAGGCTTGAGGTTTGTGTTCGATCTGTAGTTGATTTGTTGATGCAGAAAATGGTGAAATTGCTTCCATTTAGGTGATGTTAAGTATGGTGTTAATTAATTTAATTTCTGCACTAACCAGGGAAAGTATAAAGCAATGGCAATTTGTTGGATTCTTGGGCTAGGGTGCCTTGTCTCATGGAACAGTATGCTCACAATAGGAGATTACTACGGCAAATTGTTCAAGGTAGGTATCTTATGGTAATAATCACACCTTTTTGCAGCCACCGATGACCTAAATGTTCCTTTTTGTTAATAGCCTTCTGAAAGATGCTGAATTCATTGTTGGATGACTTTTATGTGGGAAAAAAGTGCGAATTCATTAAGACATATATGAATTGATTTGGTTTATGAATTCATTCGAGTATGCTGATGCTTTTCATTCCCTTGAAGAAATACCATCCTACAAGGGCACTTACCCTTGTTTATGAATCATTTGCGCTTGGGACAATGGCGATACTAGCATACAATGAGTCGAGGATTAATACTAGACGGAGGAACTTAGCTGGTTATGCTCTTTTCTTTGCAAGTACTTTGGCACTCATTCTTGTAAGTATCTCTGATGTTTCTTTCTATAATTTTCTGCTTGTCTTATTTTATCTCTTCATTCTTCTACTCCTATTAATGGTTTTCAATATGAATGATCTATAAGTCACCGTCACTCTGTGGCAGTTGGATTTAGCCACATCAGGGAAGGGAGGACTTGGACCTTTTCTTGGTATATGTGCCATTGTTGTTATTTTTGGAGTTGCAGATGCCCATGTTGAAGGTGGAATGGTTGGTGATTTATCCTTCATGTGCCCTGAATTCATGCAGGTTGATATACTTCTTGAATTTTTTTAATGTTCTTTGACACATTGTTTTTAAATAGCTTCTCAAAAGAGATTTTCTGTTTTACAGTCCTATTTAGCTGGCATGGCTGCATCAGGAGCTTTAACCTCTGCTTTGAGGCTAGTAACAGTGGCAGCATTTGAAAATCATCACAATGGTCTTCGCAATGGAGTTAGTATGTAGCTTTTTTTTTTTTTCGGGTTACCAGTACCCAAAACTCAGTTTCTTCACATTCTATACTAGTCATCTGTTGAATATATATAGTGCAGAAGTGAAATGTGGATTTAGATGGGTAACTTACACGTTACGCTATGTGTACTAATTTTACTAGTAAACAAGTTTAGACAAGCCACTTCTGTATTTGTGTATCTAAGAGATCCCATTAATTTCTTATTCATCGTTTTTGCAGTGTTATTTCTAGGAATATGCACATTCTTTGAGTTTCTATGCATTCTGCTATATGCATATTCCTTCCCTAAACTGCCAATTGTGAAGTATTTCCGTGCCAAAGCTGCCTCAGAAGGATCAAAAACAGTTTCAGCTGATCTCGCAGCTGCTGGAATCCAAACAAAACCAGATCAAGTATTTTTCCAATTTTCATGAAGTTTATTATAATTTTATGTACTCAATGTTTGAAGAAGTTTTCAGATACAAAGCAATAATAGCTTTTGGAATTCTTGTAGAACGTAGGTGAAGCTATGCAAAAGGAACGGTTGAGCAATAAGCAACTATTCTTCCAAAATATAGATTACGCACTTGACTTGTTTCTGATATATGTGCTGACATTGTCCATTTTTCCTGGCTTCTTATATGAAGATACTGGACATCACCAATTAGGCGACACCTGGTAAGTGGTCTTCTATAGCAGTCTTCATTCGATTTGAAACTTCCAAAATGTTATAAATCAATCGGCTTAACTTTGCTGGCGATGTATTCTAAATTTGTTCAAGAATTGGAAGGACTAGAAGCAAATGTAGAATCCATTATCCTCTTGTTGGAATTATGGAATATTTTAAACAATTTTACAGAGATATTTTCACATGGCTGGTGGTCCTTTAGGTACCCGCTTGTCCTTGTCGCATCATACAATGTGTGTGATCTGATATCAAGATACATCCCTCTAGTAGAAAGTCTGAAGTTGGAGTCCAGAAAGGGCCTTATGATTGCAATTCTGGCTCGTTTCTTACTTGTTCCTGCATTCTACTTCACTGCAAAATATGCAGATCAGGGATGGATGATCACACTCACTTCCTTCTTAGGACTCACAAATGGTTATCTAACTGTGTGTGTCCTTACAATAGCACCCAAAGGTTACAAGGTTAGTTTACTCCACACCACACCCCATCCTAAACGTGCAATTAATCTAAAATTTCCAGTTGCCTCCAAATAAAATGTAATTGGAATGCTGGTTTTGTAGGGACCTGAGCAAAATGCATTGGGGAATATACTAGTGTTCTGTCTATTAGGTGGCATATTTGCTGGAGTTGCTCTTGACTGGCTGTGGCTCATTGGTAAACAAAGCTTTTAATATTGTAAAGATTGATACAAGTCACAGATCAAAACAATCCTAAACCTTGTTGGATTCTTGTAACTATGATCCTCTGAATGTAATTAGATATTTACTTTTAGTTTAGTTTTATTATAATTGGTTAAATTGAATGGCACATGGATTGACCTGAATATCTCATTGGCTGTAACTGTACTGTCCGTATTAGTGGCTCCACGTAAGCAGGCTGCTTTCAAGTTGGACCTTATTTTAAGTTATCGAGACATATGGTAGGTAAAGACAGTATGATTAGAATAGTAATCAATTATTTATGAACAGGTAATTTATTAGTACAAATAATAATTCCAATGTGGCATGTGCACAATTTCAACTAAATTAATTCCATTGTCATCATTATGAAGATTTGATTCTCATCAATAACATAATATCATATAAATATCTTCACGCAAGTGATCAAATATGTTTATGTTTTTAATATTTTTTTTCTTTTGATTAAATAATGGGTCACGACAAAGATGGTTGACCTTATTATTATCATCATATAAATATTTAAGACAAGTATCAACCGTTGAAAAAATAAAAATAAAAATTTAGCTTTAAAGAAGAGAACCTTATCTTAAAAAAGGGTCTCCAGCATCAAGTTGTGATGATCTTCCATGAATCTTTAACGTCTTGTGTAAACTTTAATTTAGAAAAATTATAAAATAATGAACTTGATGTTGAGACTTTTGTATTTAATATTAATATTAGTTTGCTATTCAAGGCAAGTTAAGAAAGGGACATTCACCATTGCGTCTTTGTATCTCCTCTCGGCTCTCAGTAGTCGAGACGAAAGTTACTTAAAATAATTTAATATATCAATTTTTGTCATTATGAATTTATTTACTTATTTTAATGATCAAAATATTCGAATCCGTTTGTCACACGTTAATTAATCTTTAAAATCTATTAAATATCTTTTAAATTTAATATTTTAAAATAAACTATAAATATGTAATAGATCTTCAAGATTTGAACTAAAAAAATCAACGAAAGAATCAAAACCTTCTTGACCAGCGGCCAATCAATCCTTTGGGATTGAATTCATTTATTTGTTTCAAAGTTATTTTAAGTTTTGTCCTCTCCCACCTTATATTTGAGATATATAACGTTACTTATATTTGACAAGGGGTTCTTTGTTTTTATTTTGTATAAGAAAATATTAAAAAAAAATTCCCGGACGGCAAGCCATACCATACCATACTTCCCAGCTAAGATTGCAGTCTTTTGTAGACTTACAACTCAACTTTACACTCAACCCTCCACCAATCATATCCATTTTAACAATATAAAAAACATTTTACACGTGATTACACACCACACTACGAGCCACCCCATTGTTTTAAAACCTGGACATGAGGGCAACTCGTTCTACTGTTCAGGTCATAGGTTGATTGGTCCAACCGATTGAATCGGTCGGTTGGATTGATGATGTCATTTTGTTGACGTGAACACTTCCAAAAATATCCAAATTTTTCATTTTTGAACAAGTTTCAAATTTTTAATAACAGCTTAATTACTGCACCAACATGATTCAAATTCAATAATAATCCAAACATGATTTTCCAGCAATCCCAACATACAATTTAATATGTTATAGCTCCACCAAAAATTTATACTTGACAATTTTTTTTGTAGATTACAACATGCCTGAATTGCAGAAACAGAATGCTATTACAAAAGGCATCTTAACTTTTAATTTAAACACTATATCTCTTTATTCTCAAGATTGGGCACACCTGGGTTATTCAACTAAAGGGAGAAAACACAAATAATCTGAGTACCTTCAAATTATCTTCCAGATTCGAGTAAAATAATTCTGCAACTTCCAATCAAATAATCAAAACAAAACTTCGAAATTTGGAGGATGCTGCCAAAAAAAGAAAAAATCAACTTCCAATCAAATAAACCAAGCATTATAATCAAAACAAAAGTTCCAATCAAATAATCAAAACAATACTTCTGAATCCAGAAAAAGAGAATCAAATAAACAAGATGTACCTTCAATTGTCATCATCGTCGATTTTCAGTGAGGGGGGGAGGTGTTGTTGTCGTCGAGCAAGGAGGGAGGTGTCATCGTCGAGGTCGAGCAAGGAGGGAGGTGTCGTCATCGTCGTCGAGCAAGGAGGGAAGTGTTGTTGTTGATTTCCAACGAGGGAGGGGGGTGTCGTCGATTTTAGAGAGTGGAATTATGATTAAGACAATGGTTGCGATTTCATACTTCATAGAGCAGAGTTGATTGAGATTAAGGGGTGATTTCTAAGAGTGGCTGCGAATTTCAGAGAGTGGTTGCGTAGAGAAACTGAAAAATGAATAGATTTAGGGCTTTTTTACTTGTGAAATAGTGAACCGGTTTATCAGGTAGTCCAATTGGATTGGACGGTTTACACTGTTTGTCCGATCTATTGGCGAGTTAAAATGGCTTTTTAAGTATAAACGAGTTTTATATAAACCTAGGTTGGACACACAATCAGGTCCCGATCGAACCGGTTGAACCGGCTAGTTCGATTGGGGTTTTAAATCAATGGTCCACCCCTCAATGGGTTGGATTTTTTAGCAGCAATATTGGAGTACCCTTTCCTTTTGGTACGAAATCTGGACTTCATTATTATCCATGTATATACTTTATTATACGCATTCCAAGGTTCATAATTTTTTATGTGGCTCAAAAATTAAAAACTTAAAATAAGATTTGGATTTGCATTCATAGTTCATACAGATACAGGATAAGAATTCTATCCAGCTTAGTTCAGAATCAGACCTGAAAGTTGAAATCACCATCTCTAATTTTGCAAATTGCCAGATTTGATCATTAATGCAAATTTCTAAAATTGTGTTGAAAATAGTAAATACAGCTATCAGACCGACTGACAACTTTGTTTGTTTGTTCCAATTGGCCTTTCCCTCTATTTTTATGCCATGGAATCATGGATAATGGATTGGATTGGACATCTTTTCCCACATTATTAACCTAACTAATTAGATCACCCTTACTCTTAACAATTATATCACTAACTGCCAAAAAAATTTCTTACCCAGAAACAATGTTCTTGGCCTTAGATTCAGATAAAATTTAACCAGGCAGCATTACTTGACTAGTATATTTGTATATGTAAGCGTTGAAAGTCATAGTCTTCCAGGTTTTTAAATATTTTTTTCTTTGATTAAATAATGGGTCACGACAAAGATGGTTGACCATATTATCTATCATATAAATATTAAGCAAGTATAACCGTAGAAAAATAAAAATAAAAGTTTAGCTTTAAGAAGAGAAACCTTACTTAAAAAAGGGTCTCCAGCATCAAGTTGTGATGATCCCATGAATCTTTAACGTCTTGTGTAAACTTTATTTAGAAAATTATAATAATATATGTGCTGACATTGTCCATTTTTCCTGGCTTCTTATATGAAGATACTGGACATCACCAATTAGGCGACACCTGGTAAGTGGTCTTCTATAGCAGTCTTCATTCGATTTGAAACTTCCAAAATTTTATAAATCAATCGGCTTAACTTTGCTGGCGATGTATTCTAAATTAGTTCAAGAATTGGAAGGACTAGAAGCAAATGTAGAATCCATTATCCTCTTGTTGGAATTATGGAATATTTTAAACAATTTTACAGAGATATTTTCACATGGCTGGTGGTCCTTTAGGTACCCGCTTGTCCTTGTCGCATCATACAATGTGTGTGATCTGATATCAAGATACATCCCTCTAGTAGAAAGTCTGAAGTTGGAGTCCAGAAAGGGCCTTATGATTGCAATTCTGGCTCGTTTCTTACTTGTTCCTGCATTCTACTTCACTGCAAAATATGCAGATCAGGGATGGATGATCACACTCACTTCCTTCTTAGGACTCACAAATGGTTATCTAACTGTGTGTGTCCTTACAATAGCACCCAAAGGTTACAAGGTTAGTTTACTCCACACCACACCCCATCCTAAACGTGCAATTAATCTAAAATTTCCAGTTGCCTCCAAATAAAATGTAATTGGAATGCTGGTTTTGTAGGGACCTGAGCAAAATGCATTGGGGAATATACTAGTGTTCTGTCTATTAGGTGGCATATTTGCTGAAATTGCTCTTGACTGGCTGTGGCTCATTGGTAAACAAAGCTTTTAATACTGTAAAGATTGATACAAGTCACAGATCAAAACAATCCTCAACCTTGTTGGATTCTTGTAACTATTGGCCTCTGAATGTAATTAGATATTTACTTTTAGTTTAGTTTTATTATAATTGGTTAAATTGAATGGCACATGGATTGACCTGAATATCTCATTCTCATTGGCTGTAACTGTACTGTCCGTATTAGTGGCTCCACGTAAGCAGGCTGCTTTCAAGTTGGCATATGGTCGGTAAAGACAGTACGATTAGAATAGTAATCAATTATTTATGAATAGGTAATTTACTAGTGCAAATAATAATTCCAATGTGGCGTGTGCACAATTTCAACTAAATTAATTCCATTGTCATCATTATGAAGATTTGATTCTCATCAGTAACATAATATCATATAAATATCTTCACGCACGTGATCAAATATGTTGTTAATTTTCTTTTTGCTTTTGATTAAATAATGGGTCACGACTAGGGGTGCAGTTGCTCAGATTCGACTTGTGATGAGCTCAGACTCGACTCGTCGGAGAACGAGTATTTCACGAGTTCGAGCTCAACTTCAAGCTCGTGAAAAATGTCGAGCTTTTCGGGCTCGATTAAAACTATTCGCGAGCTGTTCGAATCACTTGAGACGTCATTCGAGTAGGAGAGCTCGTGAGATCGATCGGTAAGGTTTCAGCTTGCGTATTCATATTTGCCCTAAAATCTGAAATAAAGTCATTCATTCGGCCGAAAATAGAGATCTGACGAGTGATGCAGGTGCCGCATGAGAGGAGGTCGGAGGTAAAGCTGAGATCTGACAAGTTCGATGACGGTGGGGTGGACTTCGATGGTGGTGAGTAGTTTTCTCATGACGTAGATCGACTGAAGATTATGACTAGGTGGAGATGATGAGTTGGATTTTGGTCTCAGCAGATTCGACTGAGAAGTTAGTGGAAGAAGAAGAAGAAGAAGAAGAAGAAGTAGATGGGTTCAAAACGACGTCGTTTTGTTAAATCCTTATAAATAGTCGA